CGATGGAAGGTTACGTATTGGTTTAAAAATTTGGACGGGAAGATGCCGTTCCGTGTAGACCCTGGAACCGGGTGGATATACACCACAAAAAGACTGGATCGAGAAGAGAAAGATAGGTACTTGCTGCATTATATGGCAAGCGCAGGTAAGGATGGACTCGGACCCTGGTTTGCGAGGTTGGGATAGAAGCCTTTAATTGAAAAGTCAGGTTTTCCTTTTTGAAGATCGATTAAACAGCCAAAATATTTTGGAAACAAACCAGTAATTCTGGTTGTTTAGACACAAACAGGAGCTTATTTGAATGACAGATATACTAGTCAACCTTTTTGATTGCACGTTTTGAGGACATACGTGCACCTGCTGCAAATGGTCAGAATTTTACGTTAGGATAAGACTTGTCTTGAATAAGGACGTCAACTCGTATGTCCTGAGAGAACATTTTCAATAAAGTTGTACAAGCACAATACTGTACATTCAATTTAAAACTTTAGGCAACTCAATATTTTACCTTAATGTGTTGTGAAGAATCACTTAACAATAATTATCTCAATAATTATCTCGCTGTATCTATTTCTAGACCTAGGTCGGACGTCTCTGGCAACGATGGTAAATGTAACAATCCGACTGGGAGATGAGAACGACAATAGACCAACTTTCTCTCAATCTTACTACTCGACCGTGGTGACGTCACACGAACTGGGAATGAGTGTTCTAACTGTTCAAGCGATAGATAAAGATGATGGAGAGAATGGGAGAGTTACGTATGGAATAGTCAAGGGACAAGATAAACATTACTTCACCATTCATAGCAGGTTAGATTGAAAATAAATGAGCAAAACCAGCTCTATTCATACTCGATAATCAGGCGTGCGAGCATGGTACCTTTCGAGTTAGTGCATGCACATTTTAAAATCTTATTAAAATCTTGACATTTTAATAGTACTTAATCATACCAAAATCCGTTATGGTCATGAGCAGATAAAACCAGTTTCCGGATGGACTAAAATGGATGTAAGAAAAGCTTCGAGTAAAAATAAAAAATTAGTTCTTTATCTAGAAGAATAAATAAATAAGACAAACAATACTGAAAAAATCTTAACCATATTTTTTCCATTCACTTTAAGGACTGGTGAACTTAAAACTAGAGAGCATTTACCTGCAACATCCTTGCTGGCACTGAAGATCTACATTTCAGCCAACGACCATGGAACTCCATTATTATTTTCCTCGAAACCCGTTCCTGTGTTCGTCTTCATTGGCTCGACATTTCCCATCACTGTGGAAACGGTGAAACGAACTACATCAACAATCAAATTGAGGTTTACCATGATTAATGTCAGTTTGGCAGATATCAGTCATATTGGAGTCGTTATGCAGGGAGTTGAAAACATAACCGACTGTAAGTACAGCGACGAAATCGCTTGGCGTAAGAACTACAACGTCTGTGTGCTAGCAGGCTAGCAACCCACCTGCTGACACCTCATTTCGCTCGGTGAGTTCGGGAAACTTTCCTCCAGCCACCCACGGTGCGTCCAATCCCGGACTCACCTCCCTGCAAGTATGTTTGTTATAGAACCCCTATTAAGCGAACACCTTCGGGACCTCGCCAATGTGTCCACTTTAAAAGGAAGTGCTCAAGAGAGGTGTCCGTTAATATGGGTTCGACTACAGATAGGTTTACTAAACACTAAGCAGACGATTAGTACTATGCCCCAAAATAAACCTATATACCTTACATTGGCATCATCTTAGTATATATACATGAAGTTGCGGTTAGAGCCCGACAACTGGTCTCTGTAGCTCAGTTGGTTAGAGCTTGACAACTGACCTCTGTAGCTCAGTTGGTTAGAGCTTGACAACTGGTCTCTGTAGCTCAGTTGGTTAGAGCTTGACAACTGGTCTCTGTAGCTCAGTTGGTTAGAGCTCGACAACTGGCCTCTGTAGCTCAGTTGGTTAGAGCTCGACAACTGGTCTCTGTAGTTCAGTTGGTTAGAGCGCTGCACCGGAATCGCAGAGCCGCAGATTCGATTCCTGTCAAGGACCTAAAGTTGTATTTTTCGCTTGGGTCCCTGGTTAGGTTTAATAAATGTATATAAATTTACTCTCGAAATTTTTCAACTTTAGTTGTGCAGGACTAGCAGGGTAACATTAGCCAGGCTATGTTAAGTCGACCAGAATGTTTTTAGGATGTGCTGTTCGTGTACATTATATTCTGTATTTGGTCTTGTAGATTTTTACACACGTTTAAATTTGGATGTGATGGCCAAGCCTTATACCTTCACTCGCCGACAGAACTTCAACTCCTGTCAATATTCACGAAAACAGGGTAAGATTCTAAGTTGTAGGATATTGTCTAGGAATGTTCGGTATGAGAAATTTCCGGTATCGGTCTACCGAAAAAATTATACCGATATTATCGGTATACCGGTTTTCCTGAAGGAAATTTTGAGTAATTCTAAAAGGGAAAACGATCATTTCGAAGCTGTTTCGAACGACACGTACTCAGTGTAAAATCTCACTCAAGTGGAAATTCTAAATCATTGCAGTAGAAAGTTATTTTTATTGCCATTGCCGTTTATAGTTTCGCCATATAGTTGGTAAATTTAAAGGCCTGATTCCACGTGGCGGAATTTTTCGACCGAAACGAAATTCCTCTTTGTCTTTTTACAATTAGTTCTGCTTGAGAGCTCATGAAACAAAGAGAAATTTCGATTCGGTCGAAAAATTTCGCCTAGTGGAAAACCGCCTTAACACGGCATACCGAAAAATTTCGGTATATCGGAAATTTCGGTATATCGGTATGGTTGAATATCCGGTATCGATATACCGATATTGGTTTAATGCCGATATTTTCTGTATATCGGTATACCGAACAGTCCTAATATTGTCAAGGTAGTATAGCATGCAGAATGTGAGTTTCGTGGCAAAATTGTGCATTTGATGTAGCGTTTAAAACATGAGCAGCATTGTTTTGTCAGATATAAACTGATTGATACTCAGGTTATATAAAACTGCTCTAAAATGACCGAGTAACAATCCAAAATTGTTTGAAATGTTTTTAATCATTTCTAAATTTCAGACAGCGACCGGAAACGAAGTTTAGGACCAATATTGTTCGCTTAAGCCTGCCGCACACGAGAGCTATCTGCTGAGCCAAAAGTTACTCGTGCCTGTTAGCTCAGCCGATAGCTCAGCGATCAAACATGTTTGATACGTGAGAAAAGGTTGCATGAGGCAAAAAACTCAGTAAATTGTACCCGCACACGGTGAGCTATCGGCTGAGCTAACAGGCACGAGTAACTTTTTGCTCAGCAGATAGCTCTCGTGTGCGGCAGGCTTTACTCTCAAGATAAAAAACTAGCGTGACCCCTCTCTTGACGTAACATGCATATCCTCAATAATCCAAGATGGCGAACAGCTCACTTTTTTCAGTCGAAATATTTTGAAAACTAAGCATGATATAAACACTCTGTAATAGAGTTTAATATATAGTTTTAAGAGTTCTTTCAAATGAACTATAAACTATTTTTATTGCCAATGTCCTTTAAAGTACTAAGTATGCATGCTACTTCTGCTGAATTGAAATAATTTCATCCAATATGCTCTTTCCATGATGAAATGAGCCATCGAAAACACATGATTTTTCCAATAGAGACACCATAATAAAAACGAAAGTTATAAATATCGAAAATCAACTTAATTTTTGTATTTTCTATTTTAGGTTAAATTTTCCAGATTTTTCGGGGACATTATTTACAGTGGTTCCCGTTCCAGAACGACCAAACCGAGGCTTCTTTGCAACGCTTCTTAATCTAGGACCGTCTGATTTGGACAGAGAAAGACTATGTAAGTATAGTATTGTATTGATCACGGGTCGAAAAAGTATCTAAACAGATGCAAGACCTTATTTTTCTGTGTTCGTGTTATGTACTCAGGTGAATATGATGTTTGTGATGTTACTCTGAGTGTATATTCACACCGGGCAGGGTTTGAAAAATATATCTGGCCACGGTGGGAATCGAACCTACGACCTTTGGAACACTAGCCCAATGCTCTGCCAACTGAGCTACGCGGTCAGGTCGGTTCGAGTATGTGATATTTCGGAACTGAGTCTAGTTCCTTCGTTCCGAAATATCACATATCACTCAGTTCCAAGTGATATAATAAATATCACTCAGTTTCGAAATATCACATACTCGAACCGACCTGACCGCGTAGCTCAGTTGGCAGAGCATTGGGCTAGCATTCCAAAGGTCATAGGTTCGATTCCCACCGTGGCCAGGCATGTTTTTCAAGCCTGCCCGGTGTGGATATACACTCAGAGTAACATCACAAAGATCATGCTGGACCATTGGTCTAAGAAAATGTTTGAGTCCTCGGAAAATATTTCCCCAAGAACTGGAGAAAGAGAATTGTAATATGAGAGATAAAAGGAGAAATTCCTAAGAAAATTTTAATCAATTTCAAGATCAGTGATCTCAATATTTTTAACATTTTTTAACATTCTTAATGTAGTTAAAAACATTGAGTTCACCGATCTTGAATTATGCTTAATTGATTTTCCTAGTTAGTTTTTTCAATGGGCAATTCCATGAGCTATAGACTAAATTTTGATCTTGGCAAGAAGAACAAAATCCATCACCACAGCTAGAAAGAGCATGTTAAAATTAGTAAAATTGCAAAGTTTGCTTGCGAAATGTTGTAAAATGTGGAAAATATATATAACCATGCGAAATTTGCAAATTTTGTATTACAGTGAAAATACAAAAAGTGTCCCACTTCCGCTTCTGTAGTTTGTTGTGATTTACTGTAATTTGTTCTGTTTTTCTGTAGCGATTACCGATTTATGGACAAATACTGCGATAAAACTTAGTTTTTTTTCTATTTTTAAATATGGTAAGTTGTAGCAAAGGGAAATAATACATTTTTCGTTAGTTTCATTGCATAAAAGGAACGGAATTTAAATTTTATCGCAGTATTTGCCGATAAATGGTACTCGCTACAGAAAAACAGAACAAATTACAGTAAATCACAACAAACTACAGAAGCGGAAGTGGGACACTTTTTGTATTTTCACTGTAATTTGTATTACGCACGAGAATTTGCACCACTTTTGGCCTAAATGTGGTGCATTTTCCCGCGCGTAATACAAATCAATACAAAATTTGCAAATTTCGCTTGGTTATATTTTCCGCATTTCACAACATTTTGCAACGAAACTTTGCAATTTTACTAATTTTAACATGCTCTTTCTAGCTGTGGTGATGGATTTTGTTCTTCTTGCCTAGATCAAAATTTAGTCTACAGCTGGAATTGCCCATTAAAAGGTTTGTAATGTGCCACCATCATTCGAAAGGCTGAACTGTGCCTTTAAAATATCTGCTCATTATAAATACTCTGGCTTCAAAATTATTTCCCTGAATTCGAAAGATTGCTCCGCGCAGCAGGGCATTAAATCCATCTATGGCAAGAAGCTTTAGGTATAGTGGAGCTGTACTATGGAATAGTCTTTCTGCTGAGGCTAAGTCTGCGCATTCGATTTATTGTTTCAAAAGACTTATTTGAATCTTGTTTTTAATTGTTATTCCATTTGTAACTACACATTATGTTCTGGGTAATATTCTTTTTGGGTCTGTGGCTCAATTAGTTTTTTCTTCATTTTTATATACTTGTAAATAGCTAAATAGACGCCCCTCATGAAAACCAGCCGTATAGCTGATGAGGACAGCGCTCCTAAAGAAATTAAATACATACATACATTACAGGTAAACTACGTGAAGCGTTCCTCTTTTGACTTCGTAACTCATTTGGAATTTTCCTCATTAGCTTTGCAAATTTGAAAAACTCTTTGCAAATCCCTTCAGGGAATTTGCAATGTTCCTATCGGCTGTTGCAATATTCCAAACTTCATTTTAAATTTTCCTAACTTCCTGTTTTAATTTCCTAACTTCCTGTTCTGTTCTGAGCGTTGGTATTGGTCGATTATTTTTGTTAGCCAATTGCAACGCCCAGAACAGAACAGGAAGTTAGGAACTTGCAACAGGAAGTTAAGAACTTCAAACAGGAACGGAGGAAAATTTTTTTGGCTTTTAGCAACATTGCAAATTCCCTCAAGGGATTTGCAAGGGAGTTTTTTAAATTGCAAAAGTAATGAGGAAAATTGCAATCAATTTAGAAACACAAAAGAGGAACGCTTCACGTAGTTTACCTGTAAATACATACATCTATGGCATCTATCTATCATTATTATTTGACTTTCTTTCCAGTTGGCACTGAAAGTGGCAAAGCATCTCAGTCTCTAGCGACTCGCGTCCCAGGGAGAGGAACGGAGGATATCCAAGCACGCTCTGGCGGTATCGCCGATGTAATGTCCAAAAATATGGAGGTAGGACATTAATTGAATCAAGTTCGCTGATCAATTTTAATTCGGCCAGATTTAGGGACTTGGCTATTTGCCCATTGAGCGCCAGCATTCGCCTCTTGACTGTACAGTGAAATCGTCTGGCGTTAGAAGGAAATTACAAAGTAGGGCGCATCATGGCACAATGCAACATCAAGGACATATAGCCTGTATTCTAAAAGCTCACACTCGATGAGTGGAGGTTCAATCTGAGCTTCTCTTGAGTGTCAATGCTGTTTTTGAATAGCTGGAGGGTGAGTAGTCACATAGTAAGGTACGATCATAGATATCTTATATAGACTAGATAGCGCATCTCTTTTAGTAAAATTGAAGCCAAGAATATTCCAGCGGTTACCCCCATTTGAATAGATGGCGGCCATGTTGGTAGTTCTCACTCGCTAATAAACGCTTAAAAAACAACAATAACTTTCATCATTTGAATAGTTTAAAAATGTATTTGGAATAGGTTTACCTTAATATTTAAGTTCCGTGTTTAAGAAATAGAAAACATACGAATCTTCTCATTTCATGGGAATATCCTGAGTCTGCAATCACGGCTTCAATTTTTGAATTGCAGAATAATTAGATGCACTATCTAGTGTATATAAGATATCTATGGGTACGATACTAACCCTCCAGCTATTGAAAACAGCAATGACACTCGAGAGAAGCTCAGATTAAACTTCCACTCATTGAGTGTGAGTGAGCTTTTAAAAAACAGGCGTATATATGACTCGAAAATTGACAGTGTTATTTTTTTTGCCTAATGTGAAGGATTGAAAAGTGTAGGGTAACTTCTCTGATAGATTTTTGTTTTCTTGCTTCGTTTTGAAGATATTTCATCTTGTATGATATGCAAAAGACCAACTTCCTACGTCACACCTGCATAATGACTTACTTTAAATGTTATATAATTTTGTCGTTATCAAATGAATTCGCTCAAAATGAATGACGAGCGCGAGATATGTCCACAACAACACCCATGTATTATTGAATGGGGGTGGGATGCCAACAAAATCTTGATATTTACCCATAACCTACACATGGCGATACCCTGGTATATATCGAAGCCAAAATATATTTGGAGTGTTCTGTGATGGAACCATTCAAGAAAATCACAACGGGATCCCAATCTTGCCTCAGCCAGTAAACGTTCCATCATCAGGGACGTCGTGAAGCCATCAACATTTGGGGGTGTCGTCTGTGTTTGACCAACATTTCCTAGGATTTTGACCAAGTCGTACAAATTTTTCCCGAAAATGTTGTCGACGGGGGTCAAAACAATTTTCCGGACTAACATAAGCATAGTCAAAAAAAATTTTCCCGCTAACATAAGCATATTCAAAATTTTTCAACCAAGATAAGCAAGGCTTCAAGATTTTTACACCGCAAACATAACATAAGCTTTAAAATTATTAAAATTGCCAACCATTTCATAACTTTGCAATTGAGCAACTTCGACAATCTTTTATCCCAAACTTTGACCAAACTTTTCCGAGTTTTACCTTCCGAGTTTCACGAAATATCAGTTTCATTTTGACCGACTTTGCGCAAATACCAGTTCCATTTTGACCAACTTTGACCAACGTTTGAATTATTGGGGAGGGGGTGGGGGTGTCCCTGCCCGTCACATAAACCACACTCCTAATTTCTGACATGACGTTTTTACTTTATATTCTCCAGAGCCTCAATGAGCGCGGTGAAAAGTTGGGAGAGCTGGAAGACAGGACGCGACAAATGAGAGATCAGGCAGAACAATATTCAAGGAATGCTCACGCGCTCGCCCAAAGATTCAAAGATAAAAAGTGGTATCAATTATAATTGTAGCGAATTGTCGGCCATGTGCGCCGAAACGATAAAAATCGTCAAAGCGCGCTTTCGTTGGCATGTATTACAGTAAAATCCCGCATTAGAGAAGCGCTGTTTTTATGCCAGGTTAAAGTGGTTCTTATACAGGGTGTATAAAAATAAGGCAATTCAACTTACGCATGCTATATCGTGCACTAATATTACGTTTAACAATTTACTCTTTTCATACCAATAAAGTGATTTTTCATATCTTGCTTAGTTCTTGAAATATTTGCACTTGAAGTAATGAGATGTCTTCCATCTTGGATACATTTTTGATCTCATTAACGGTAGTTTTGGTGACGTCACAACATGGATTAACCATATAAAAGTATTCGTTGCTGAGCAAATATTGATTGCTAGATGTTTTAAAGGTTTTGAGTGCTCTTGATATTTCGAAGGGCAGACAGAGTATAGTTTTGAGTGCAAAATGATTAGTGTTTGTCTAGATAAAAATATTGCGTGACCTCTGTTGTGACGTAACATGTATATCTACAAAAATTCAAGATGGCGGACATTTTATTCCTTTCCATCAAAATATTTGCGGAAGTAAGCAAGATATGAAAAAACGGTAAAAGAGTATTATATATATAGTCTTACAGTTGATTTCACGAAACTTTGGCCGCGCCAGTTGCGAGGTTGGTTGGGAATTTGGGACTATAAACACGAGATCGTCAAGTTGATTGGAAACTGGCCAATCAAATTCGGAAGTTTCGCATCAAATTATCAAAATTCGTTACGAAATTCCGAACCAAATTCGCAAGCAAGTTCGCAAATTGCAAACGATTTTGGAAGTAAATTTTAAAAACTAAACTTTATTAAACTATTATAATGTTAAACCTGAAATTATATTATTGTTATGATATTATTTATTGTTAAATGAATAAGTTTAATAAAATAAGTTTAGGTTTTAAAATTTACCGCCAAAATCGTTTGCAATTTGCGAACTTGCTTGCGAACTTGGTTAGGAATTTCATAACGAATTTCGATAATTTGATGCGAAACGTCCGAATTTGATTGGCCGGTTTCTAATCAACTTGATGATCTCGTGTTTATAGTTCCCAAATTCCCAACCAACCTCGCAATTGGCGTGGCCAAAGTTTCGTGAAATCAACTGTAAAAGTTCTTTCAAATGAGAAAATAAAACAAATATATTGCCATTTCCCTTTGAGGTACTTTCCTATGATTTCCTTGGCCTTGTCTATTATTTTTAGACAGCCTGAATCTGTATCAAATACGAAAACAGAAAAGCTATAAACGTAATAATTAAGACACGATAGCCTCTCAATTTTGCATGGATTAGCTTTTTTAACACCCTGTATAATGATTCTCTTCAGAAATGAGCCCAGTTTGCCACGACGCTCGCCTGAGCGACAAGAATTATTTTAGCTGTCTTCATATGTTTTTATCCACCTATTATTATATGGCAAGCATCACTTCCGGTGAAATGGCGAACTGTGATTGGCTGAGAAGCACTCTCAGCTGTCCATTATTTCCCCGTAATGGATCGGCGGCCATTACGTAAACACAAACGCATGCATTTTAAAACAAAACAGCAAAACTATTAGAAAATTTGAAAATTATAATTTAATTTGTTATTAGTAAGATATTTGCGAATGGTTTTTAGTGGAAAAAAAGGCATACATTGGTATTTTTTTGGTTTTCTTCGACCAAATGTGTACCACGCTAATAATATGCATTTCAAATCATGCATTTCTCGTTTCTTTCAAGTATAAATGCCTATAAATGCCATATAATAAACTTTTTATTAACCTCGCTTGCTCGGTATGTACAGAGAAGTATCGGACTTCGGTCTTTTTGTACAAACCTTGCCCTACGGGTTCGGTCTGTACAGAAAAGACCTCGGTCCTATAGTTCTCTGTACAGACCTCGCGTTCTGTTAATATGAAGTTAATAATCCAGCCTCGGTTAGACGACATTATGTAAACATTTTTTGTTGTAATTAAACAATCTACAGCTTGTTTTACAAGTTTAATCGTGTCTGTTTAGTTCTATTAATGTTTATTTTTTGTTTGTAATTTTTAACCATGCCTTCAAATACTATATTATTGATCAAAGTCTGCAAAAAAATGTCGTTAAATAGCTTGTTCCAAACTTGCGTGTGTACACGCGTAAAATCTCGCATCTTGTAGCAAGTCTGCCAAGAAGCCGTCAACAAGTTGTGTTCGCACTGCTTGTCCCAAGTTGTCAACAAGTTTGGCATAAGCTGTTAACAACTTGTAACAACCTTGTTGATATTATCAGACTTGTTGCAAGGTCGTTCCAACAAGTCCGATACAGTCATGATACAACAATATTGCTACAACCTTGTGTCGTCAAACTTGTAACATTCTTGTTATATCATGACTGTGTCAGACTTGTTGGAACAATCTTGTGACAAGTCTGATAATGCCATCAAGCTTGTTACAAGTTGTTAACAGCTTGTTCCAAACTTGTTACAACAACTGGCAAGTTGTTACAAGTCTGCAAATAAGTTGTTACAAATCTGTTCACAAGCTGTCGACAAGTTGTGTTCTCACTGCTTGTGCCCAGTTGTTGCAACAAGTTTGGAACAAGCTGTTAACAACTTGTAACAAGCTTGATGGCATTATCAGACTTGTTACAAGGTTGTTCTAACAAGTCTGATACAGTCATGATATAAACAAGAATGTTACAAGGTTGACGACACAAGGTTGTATTTATTTATGTAAGAATTTTTACAGAGGATAGACATTTCAGTAAATATATCATGACTGTATCGGACTTGTTAGAACAACCTTGTGAGTCGGATAATTGCCATCAAGCTTGTTACACGTTGTTAACAGCTTGTCCCAAACTTCCAGGTGATCTCGAGTTCGTATTTTAGCCAATCAGCGCTCAGAAAGGGTTGTCCGAATAGAAATCCATTTTGATGTATTCAGTCAATTATATCTTTCGTTATTCTTTATGAAACTAGTTGAAATTTTGTAATTATGTTTGGTTATGAGAACTATAGCTCTGACAAAAATATGGAATCGAAATAAAGTATATTACAGGAGATATTCCGTTGTTTTAATCATAAAATGATTTCTATTTGACAACTAGTGCCAGTACTTTTCCGCGTATCAAGATCATCTGGTTGTTACGACAACTTGGGACAAGCTGTAGGAACACAACTTGTTGGTAAACTTGTAACAAGCTTGATGGCATTATCAGACTTGTTACAAGGTTGTTCTAACAAGTCTGATACAGTCATGGTATAACAAGAATGTTACAAGGCTGACGACACAAGGTTGTAACAATATTGTTATATCATGACTGTATCGGACTTGTTGGAACAACCTTGTGACAAGTCTGATAATACCATCATGCTTGTTGCAAATTGTTAACAGCTTGTTCCAAACTTGTTACAACAACTGGGAACAAGCAGTGCGAACACAACTTGTCGACAGCTTGTTGACAAACTTTCT